AGGGTCATGGTGCCTGCTGTCCAACGTGTCCGCAAGGGCTCAGCGGAAGGAGAACAGAACTTACGGACAAAGGGCTTAGGCTGAAATCCTGATCCTGTGACCTACAGCCACAGGTTCTGCTGACACCCCAGCTGAGCCTTGGTTTCCTCCTGAATCGTGGAACGATGCCCTCTCTCCCAGAGCTGGAGCGAGGGGCATGCGCAAGACAGCAGACGAAAGGCAAATCAGACACTGCTGTTTGAGTAAATTTCTAAGACGTGACTATTTCAGGGTGTCCCGATTCCTCATGGCACGGTTGCCTGTGCAGGTGGCGGGCAGCACCCGGTCACCCAGACCTGTCTTCAGGGACCCGTGACGGGGCGCCAAGCCCCGCGCTGAGCACTGTTATCGATGGTCTGCCCTTGATGTAGGCAGAATAGCGCCCCTCCCCCAAAGATATCTGTGTCCTGTGAATATATTAGGTTTCATGGCAAAGGGGAACATAGGTTGTAGATGGAATTTAGGTTCCTCATCAGACCTTAAAATAGGGAGCTTATCCAGAAATAGCTGGGTGGATCCAATGTCATCACAGAGGTATTTCTCCGGAAGCTGGAGGAGGCAAGCAACGATTCTCCCCCTAGAACCTCCAGAAAAGAATGCATCCCTACGGACACCTTGAGTTTAGCCCAGTGGAACAAGCATCCGACTTCTGACCTCCGGAGCTGTAAGACAATACATTCTCTCATTGTGTAAAGGCACCGCCTACGTGTTGTTTGAAGGCGCTCAACTGGGGGTGATTTGTTACAACACCAGGAAGTAAGACGGACCCTGGAGGTGGACACCAGGGCTTTAATGACACCCCAGCTCTTGCGAGACAGAAGCTCATAGTAATGGTAGGGTGTACACAGTTCCAGTCCCTTCCCTCTCCGCGGTCTATGCGGGCAGTCACTCACAAGCTACTCATGGTAAGAAGAGATGACGTAGGGATCACCCGTGTGAGCAGTATTCTTTGTCATTCACAGCTACAGCTACTCCTGTGCCCCCTTCCTGCCCTGCCCTTGACCTCGGATCCAGCCTGGACCCAGGCATTTGAGACTTTATGCATATTTAAGAAAAGGCTAGCCTGGGTCTCAGAAAGACAGTTTGGTTAACATACATCACACACAGAGGGGCGCCTGGGCGGCTCAGTCGGTTAAGCGTCTGCCTTCGGCTCGGGTCATGATCTCAGGGTCCTGGGATCGAGTCCCACACAGCGGGGAGTCTGCTTCTTCCTTTTCCTCTATCCCTCGCCCACCCGCACTCATGCTCTCTCCCTCTATCTCAAATACAATAAATAAAATCTTCCAAAAAACTCCCACACATCACACACAGAGAATAAAGTACATTAAAATAAATTCGCACTAAAATGAATCATTTAATCTTGACATCCAAAGACCCTTCAGGATCCTCCCATGGATGGGGTGTTATGATGAACGTCCATGACTTTGCAGGTGAGGAGATGTCGGAAGGCATTCCCCGAACCCTCAGCTGTAACCAGCAAGTTGCTCTGGTCAGTAAGTCCTAGACATCAGCTTCCTTGCCCAGACCATTTGTCCCTCCTAGGAAGGTCAGTTTTGTCTCCTTGAGAGCAGATGGGGCTATTTCCTACTTGAAGAGAATGGTGGGGAAAGAAAGACAGTGAATGTTTACAAAACCTTGTCTGACCTAGAAAAGTGGCCTAATAAACGCTATTACTATCATTTTCAGTTTGCCCCAAAACATGACAGCTGCTTAGTAGTTTCAACTGTTGAGCGGATGGGCAGACAAGAGTTACTTGCTGCGGGACCGTCTGGGTGGCTTAGTCAGTTAAGCACCCAACTTTTGATCTGGGCTCAGGTCACCATCTCAGGGTTGTGAGATGGAGTCCTGTGTTGGGTTCTGTGCTCAGTGGGGAGTCTGCTTCTCTCTTTCTCTTTCCCTCTGCCCCTCCCCCTGCACGCTCTCTCTCAAATAAATAAATCTTAAATGAAAAGAGTTGCTTAATGCACCTTCATTTGCAATGGTTCCTGTTTTGGGGCATTTACTGTCTTTCTCAGCGGTCTCTCGGTGCATCAGAAGCTTTGGATGGTCAAGCCAGCAAATCATGGTGACAAAATTCTATGGCACAAGTGCCTTTCCAACCTTTTACTAAACTAAGCAGCAGGTGCGAAAGAAAGAAAAGCCTCAATTCTTCAATGTTCAGGTCGATGGTCAGAGACGGTTGATTTACTACACTGTAGTGGGGTTGATTAATTTTTGATCTAAAGCAAACGGCCACTGCTTAAAGCATTACTACTGAAGGGACCAAAATATGCCACCCCCAAATATGTCACTTTGGCATGTTGGGTCTTTTTTTTTTTTTTTTACATGTTCATTATTTGGAATTAAAGTTACTCAAAAAAACAGTCAGTGCAAGAAGGACATTCCAACTTTTCTTTTTCCCTCTGAAAGCAGGAACTGAATCTCTCTTGTGATGGCTCCTCCCTATACCAGGAGGGCAAAGGGCATCTTGACACAGAGATGGAATTGGAGGCTGAGAAGGTTGCATAAACAAACTTGGTTACCTCCTCATTAATTTGCGACCCCAAACTCAAACCCCCTTGTTTGGTTAAATCTCTGCAAATCACTATTTCTATATCTAAAAGGTAGGAAAGGTGCAAACTTTGATCGCTTCTTCGAGCCTCATATTTTTATAAGCTCCCATAGGTACAAAATTAAATCTGTTTTTCTCCTGTCACTCTGTCTCATGTCAACTTAATTATTAGATTAGTCGAAGAACCCAGAAGGCAAGAAAGGAAAAGTTTTCCTCCCCTACGCTACAATTTAGATCAGGTCCGATATTTTACATATGTTATCCCTGAAACACCTCTAAGGGGTAGATATTATAAGTTCTTCTTTTTAAAAATTTGTTTCCAATACTTATTTTTTTTTTCTGATGGTAAAAGCCATTTCATGATTAGTGCGGGACACTTGTGAATTATGAAAAAGCATGGAAATTTTTCTATTGTTAGTCGTTAATAGTTCCACTCTGCGCTTTGATTAACATAGCTTCTCCTAAAAATATCCCGGTTAGTTTTTCTAATAGTTTATTATGAAAAAAAAATTCAGTAGTCACAAAACAGATTAGTATAGCATGGTGCTATTTTTCAAAGGATCTATGATGAAGGACATTTTATTCCCTTTGGGGGGGAGCAACAGAGGGAGAGTGGGATCTTTTTTTTTTTCCCTAAAGATTTTATTTATTTATTTGACAGAGAGACAGTGAGAGAGGGAACACAAGCAGGGGAAGTGGGAGAGGGAGAAGCAGGCCTCCTGCCAAGCAGGGAGCCCCATACAGGGCTCCACACCAGGACTCTGGGATCACTACCTGAGCCAAAGGCAGATGCTTAACGACTGAGCCACCCAGTAGAGAGAGAGAGAGAGAAAGAGAGAGAGAATGAATCTTAAGCTGGCTCCATGCCCAGGGGAGCTGACGTGGAGCTTGATCTCATGACTTGAGCTGGAATCAGGAGTCTGATGCTTAACCAAATGAGCCACCCAGGTGCCCCGACACCAGTTTATTTCTCGTGCATCACACAAACCCAAACTTTGGTAGAAGACTAAAAGATAAATTACTAGAAAGAGGGGCATGGCCTTAGGTGTTGGGCAATGTCAAACTGCAAAGTTTCTAAATATTTCTCTCCCCGTCGGACTCACAGCAGAGACGTCCTGAATGCTGCATAGACCCCCCACTAGTGAGCACGAGTAGAAAGTAACCAGCACTCAGCCCATCACCCCGCCAGGCAGTTACCAACATTTTGCCAAAGCCCAGATTCCAACTGAAGGAGGCCGGGGGAGGGCAGAACAGACATTGCTCAAGACCTGAAGCTGGGGAGGGGTGAAGTCAGGATTCAAATCCATCTGTCTCAACAGAAAACCACCATTTGGCCCAGAGCACACAGCCTCACATGCAAGGCTCCCCTTATCAAGGAGCTGTGGAATGTAAGAGCCTTTCTAAGTGATGCTGGCAGAAGAAACAGACCTAACCCACACCCCGAGCTTCACATGGGCGAAAACTTCTACCTTCTTGAGACTGTTTAAGAGCTCCCCAACCTGGGACAGTCTGTCCTGGGGAAAGAACCAGCAAAACACCTTCCTCACCGCGGTCTTTTCTTTTCTCGGAGTTTTTAGATTCGGCTGATAAGTACTAAGTATGGGCAGTCAGTGTCAGAGGGAAGGAGGAGGCGGACCTAGGGAAGGGGCTGTCTGGATGGGAGCTGAGCTTGGATTCAAAGTCTGGTTCCTTCGACTCCCTGCCGCCAACACCAGCACGACCGGGGTTCGGGGCACTTCTGAGCCCTGCCCTGAGTGCTGCCCACCCGCTCACCTGTCCGATCCTGGGAAAAGAAGCATCTGGACTCTCAAACACACCCCCAGCCCCAGTCGGACTGAGTCACATTTCCAGCCTGTAGCTGACTTGGGCCGCACGCAGCTGCAAGGAAGGAAGCGAGCCTGGGCCCCGCTTCTAACTTAGGCCCCCGGGGAAGCAGGGGCCGCGGTCAGGCTGGCCAGGATGCGGAGCCTGCGGCGGGCACAGGAGGCCTCGCCCGAGCCCCGCACTCTCTTTTCCTCTGTTCACGCCGAGCCGTGCGCGGACCTCGGCCGCACTCGGCGGCGGGGAGCGGCGGCGCGGGGGCGGGAGAAGAGGGGCCGCAGTGGGGCCCGAGTCCCGCAGGAGCAGGGGCAGCGTCTCCGGCGTCGGAGGGTGACCCGTGGCCGGGTCGCCGGGAGGGGTGACGGCCGTCCAGCGGCTCTCCGGTGCCCGCGGGCTCCCCGCCCGGGGACTGCGCGCAATTCCCGGCCGTCCAGCCCACGCCCCGCACCCGCGGCGGGCCTCGCGCCAGCTCCCCTTCCACTCGGGGCTCCCCGCGGACCCCTGCCCCGCGCGCAGCACCCCTCGGGTCGCGCCCCCCCGCTCCCCCCCCCAGCCCGCTGCGGACGACGCTTCCCCGGGCCCGGCTTACCTGCCGGGGGCGCGGCGGTGCCGTGGCCGCCGAGCAGCAGCAGCAGCGACAGGAGCGACAGCGGCGGCGGCGGGGGCCGCATGGCCCGGGGCTCCGGCGCCGCAGGCTCCGCGGCGGCTCTCAGGGCGGCCCGGCCCCGGCGCGGGGTCGGCCGAGCGGCTCACGTAGCCGCCCCGGCGGCCATGGCGAGCGCAGGGCGCGCGGGGCCCGCCCCTTCCCGAGCTGCGGCGACGCGGCCCCGGGGCGGCGGGACAGCCCAGCCCGGTCGCCGCGCCGCGCCCCGCCCCGCCGGCCGCGGGACTTTCCCGGCGCCCCGACCCGCGCGGGCCCCCCCACCCCGCTCCCCGCGGCCTGCGGCGCCCGGCTCGGCCCAGGGCCCGGGGCTCTGCGGCCGGCCTCCCCGAGCGCGGAGCCGGCTGCCGGGCCCGGCACAGACCAGGGGCCGAGCGGGAACCCCGCCGGACGTCCACCTTCTGGGACTTGCCGCCCTTCCGGGAAGACCCCCGAAGCCCCCGGCCCCGGGTGCCCCGTGGCGAGCCGAGCCTCCACGCCCGAGCGCCCCCCCGCGCCCCGCGCCCCATCATCCGCTCTTCTGCCGCTGCTCCCAGATGCGTGGGGGTCCACGATTCCTCCCTGCGTTTAAACTTTGCTTCCTTAGCCTCTGACGTGCCCTTGACGCTTTTAATCCATGTTTGAAAACAGGTTTAAGGGCACAGCGGTTAGACAGGGCCTGGGTGAAGGAAGGTGTGGGGCTTTGGGGAACAGGGCGCACAGGGTACCGAGGAGGGCGAGAGAAAGGTCCCACATTTCAGGACGGTGTGTGGGTGTGGGGGTTCGGCCCTTCGCGGCGCAGGGAAGTGAATGAGGAAGTAACCTCCGGGGCTGGGGTGGGGCGCAGTGGGGGGCGGGAGGCCTCCTCGCCCAGCTTGAGCCGCTCTCCAGCTTGAGGCCAGGATCTGGGTCTTCTGGCTTCTCCCAAGATGGGCCGTAAACCCAGCTGACATGGAAGAAAACGGGCAAAGAACGGAATGAATGGGGCACATCCAGAATTAAAGAATAGGTCACCGAGGTCCGGCGAAGACCTTGGCAGCATAGCGTTCGGCAACAAGGGCTTTACTTTTGGACTTCCTACATTTTACTTACTTACTTACTTACTTACTTATTTATTTATTTATTTATTTATTTATTTTTGTTTAATTTTGAAGTAATTTTGAAGTACACCCAGTGTGGGACTAGAACTTAACAACCCAGAGATCAAGAGTCTCCTCCCACTGTACTGACTGAGCCGGCCGGGTGTCCCCAACTTCTTCTTCTTCTCCTTCTCCTTCTCCTCCTCCTCCTCCTCCTCCTCCTCCTCCTCCTCCTCCTTTCTTAGTATATTATTTTGTAGAACTCTTGAAATTGGCCACTGTTGTAAAAAATGTGATGAAACAAACAAAAAAAAAAGTGATGAAACACCTAGCGATTATCTGAATGATGCTTTGAGTTTTTTTTCCAGATACAGAGACATGTTTATACGTTAAGTGAAAAAAGGCAGTATGTGAGTCAGACTCCTTGCACATTGAAAATCATTGGAGGGAACACACCAAAACACATGCAGTAGGTAATGGGATTATGAATGGTAACGGTTTTCTTTTTTTATTACCGCCACCACCACTAAGGGCATATTTTAGTTTCATAATCAAGAAAAAAAAATCATCTTAAAGGAAAGGACAGCCGTGCATCCATCTCAGCCAAGGTCAGGGAGCGCTTGTGCTCTCCCCCATGTAGAGTTCTCAGAGGAAAAGACAATGGTTTTTTTGGAAGGGGAGATGGTAACCACCCCCCCTTCCCGCCCCACCCCGGAGGAGAGTACTTGTTCTTTTCCCAGCTGGATGATCTCCTTCCAGAGATTTTCACTACTAAAACTGAGAGTAATTGCCAAGCATGCTTGATCACCGCAGAAAGGTAAATTCTCAGGGCTTGGCTTTTGCCTTTTCCTGCTCCTCCTGGCTGAAGACTTTGGCTTTTGAGCTAATAGCTAGATGGCTCTGACTCCCAGCGGGCTCCTCCACCTAAAGAGAACAAGAAGACAGTCCAGGTGCATTTCTGGGAAAGATGTCTAAGCATCCGCTGCCCTTTGTCTGGTTTCACATATGGCCCCCAGGCTGTCATGCAACTCCTGGGTTATTGCATATAACACGCGCAAGGGTTCCCTCCTTCAGCTTCTCCCTTTGGGAGGCAGATTTACTGTGAAACTACGGGAAGCTTAAGCCCAGCTCCCCCCACCCCCACCGCCTTGCACAACCTCTTCCTCTGTCATGGCAGGGGCTGCGGGCACCGTGTTCGCATGGTCACAGGCTTCTCCGAAATCTGCAAAGTAAGAGATTTTAGCCACAATTGTTAGGACCTCTGTCTCTTCTCTTTCTGACTTCTCCTTTAACATCCTTCTCTTACAGGGGGGGGGTTTTTTTTTTTTTTTTTTTTTTTTTGAGAAGTGTCTTGATACCATGTATCACCAACAAACCTGTAAGGTCAAAAGAAACTTCTACACTGTCAGTAATGAACACTTTGATAAACCATTCTAGAAGAAAGACTGAATTAACTTTCTGTTCTTCATATGGAACATATTACCGAAGGTTTTCATAAGTAGAGGCAAAGATTACACAAAGATGTGCATTCAAGGGTATTAGAGAGTTCAACAGTTAATTAATACAGGTATTTTATTTTTCTGAATTTTACAATGTTAGTGGTATTTAGCAGCTTTTTTTTTTTAAAGATCTTTATTTATTTATTTGACAGACAGAGATCGGAAGTAGGCAGAGAGGCAGGCAGAGAGAGAGGGGGAAGCAGGCTCCCTGCTGAGCAGAGAGCCCGATATGGGGCTCGATGTGGGGCTCGATCCCAGGACTCTGGGATCATGACCTGAGCCGAAAGCAGAGCCTTTAACCCACTGAGCCACCCAGGGGCCCGGTATTTGGCAGCTTTAAAAAAATTGTAACTTGTGATTTATTTTCTCGTAGTAAGTCAATACTTTTGTACCTAATTTTATATTCTTAGTTGTGTATCTTTTCTTTAAAGATTTTTATTTATTTATTTGAGAGAGCGAGAACATGGGGGATGGGTAGAGGGAGGAGAGATGCAGGCTCTGTGCTGAGCAGGGAGCCCCATGTGGGGCTCGATCCCAGGTCCCTGAGATCACGACCTGAGCCGAAGGCAGATGCTTAACCCACTGAACCCCCCAGGCGCTCCAGTTGTGTATTCTTTAATAATATTATGTAATTAACACAATAATTAATAGAAATAATATATAATAATATATCATGCATATAATATATAGAAATAATATAATAGAAATAGTTATACAAATAAGTTATAAATATGTAAATATAAATAATATAATAATTAATAAACTTATATAAACTTCAGCCTTACAAAACCCAAATTCTTCCTTCTGTCTCCATTTATTTGCTACCTTCTAACTAGTTAATCTTCCTGGAATATTTTCTTTACGCTAATAACCTGGAGGTGCTCCCCTCATCTCTCCCTCAGGAGTGTAGCCGAAGGATGGCAGAAAGAAGCCAGTATTGGCTGATGGGCTGGTTGGGGGTTTCATGCGTCGTATCACTCAGTCCTCACAATTAAGGGGTTATAACTCCCATTTCACAGATGAGGAGACTGAGGCCCAGAGAACTAAATAACTTGTCCTGCGGGGATTCGTCCTGGGTCAGTTTAGCAAAGTTGTAACTGTATTTCCTGGAAATTCCCCTCTTGAGCAGTTTCAAGTTAGCACAGGCAGGGAAGGATATTTTTGTACAAGACTGAGAAAGTGCAGCCATATTCCTTCATTCCCAGGAGGCTGGGGCAGGGCACGGGGCGTTGTTGCAATTCCTAGCATTGGGACTTAACCGCTGTCACCCTGCGTGGCAGGGACCCGAGGCTCCCCCAACTCCTGCTGGATCTTCTGTCTCACCTCCCTGTCTCCTGGACCAGGAGCGCGTGAGCTCCACGACAAAGGGCACCAGCATTTCCCACAGGACACCTGCGCTGTCGTCTAGGTTGGAGGCTGGGAGATGGGGAGAGACTGACCGGTGGTTCTGGCTTTGCTCTGGTGCCCAGCTTGTCCTGGTGACCTCCAACCTTCCCTTCCCCTCCACCTGCCCTGAGAGCTGCAGGCTCCAGCTCCAGACACAGGAAAAATAGTCCTAGACACACTGGGTCACCAGCCCCCACGACTGCCCAGGGTCAAACTCCTATCACACACACACCCCCCACACCCCACATGGTGCTTCTGCTTCTCTGACCCAAACCTGCCTGAACACACCCCCAAATTTCACAGCCAACAAGCGGTGGGGTAGGCTCTTGGCCAGTCCTATTGGCTACAGAATCGCTTGCCTCTCACCCCAAACTGCTCACCCCCCCACGCTTCTCCCCTTCTCCAGGCCTGGCTTTGCCGGCCAGATCATCCTTTCTGCGACTCCCTGCCAAGACCAGCTAGTCCATCCGTCCGTCCTCTGGTGATGAACTTCCTGAGGGCAGATCGTGCTCTCCTGCTTCCTTCACCTCTCACTTCTTCCCCTGGGCACACCTGAAATTCTCAAACTCCATCTCTTGCTAGAGTTTCCACTCCCTGAGAACTTGGTTGCCCTCCCTGACCACTACCTTCTTCTGTTCGATGCCAGCCTGGGTTAGCCTTGACCTCCACTGAGGCGGTTGCCGCCACAGTGCAGGTGGGTGAATGTCTGAGAACTCAGGCCCCAAAGCAGGCCCTGAGCACGGCTGAGTGGAGCCTTGATTGGTCACTTGAGTCCTCTGTTTTGACAAAAGCCAACAGCAAGGGCAGAGCGCTTGGCATATAAGTGCAAGGACAAATTCACCTCAGGGCTCCGGGGCCTGGGGCCTGTCTTCTCATGGAGTCTGTCATGGGACTCCCTTGCATCTTCCGGCAAATTTGCATTTCCGGTTTCCCCCTTCCGGTGGGACCCCATAAAACCTCATTACAGAAATACAGACTCTCTTGTCTTTCACTCCCTTCTTTGGGGGACCTTTGCAAGACTAACTATCACAGAAGGTGATGTTATGCATTCCATACTTCTGTGAAGCAGGGGATGGGTAGTATCTAGAGATTTGGCAGACACAAGAGGAAATTTTATGAGTCATTTTAACCTTTTTATTATTTATTTAAAGATTTC